GGATGGATGGATGGTGAGTGGATAGATGAGTGGACAGGTAGACAGATGAATAGGTGGGTGGATGGGTAGATGGACAGATAAGTGGATGGATGGTTGGATGGGTAGGTGGGTGGGTGGGTGGGTGGGAGAATGTGTGGGTTGTTGTCTGCTTTGTGTGAGCTGTTGTGCTAAATGCTTTATCTTCTGTGGTCTCATTTCATCCTTCAAGGACTCTCAGGGTGCAGAGCTCACATTCACCACTCGAGGGCAGGGACTCTTCCAAGCTCTCATAATAATCCACAGACTTTGGGAGCTCAGAGCTAAGCTATCAGTCCAACTAGTATTCAAAATCATTCTCCGAATGCTTCTTACTATTAAACAAAAGTCTCTCCCCCACCCAAACCCCCACGAAATCCCACAGAAACTCAAGAACCACCTTGACAGCAGGCCTTTCCACGGATGGAGACCAGCTCGACGCAGCAGCCTGCCCAGGGTGGGTGCCACCGTAAACAACTTCTAGAACTCCCACGGTCGGTGCCGAGGGAAAACGCCCACCCCGACTCCTATGGCAGCCACTCCCAGAGATGTGCGTGCCCACAGAAAGCCACCCCACCCTGCCATCTTTGCCCAGGATGAGGGAAGGCCCTGGGGACATCCCCAGCCCCGCAGTGAGGTGTGGTCAGAATGGCGGGCAAGCAGGGATTCCGGGGCGGAGAGCCCGGACTCCACGAGTGGGAAGAAAGCCCCTACTTCCATCGGTGTTCTCAGAAGGAAGGTCCACGTTGTCCTTGTCGTCTACTGCAGGTTCTTGGGAAGGCATGACAGAATCCTGCGAAGACATGAGCATTACAAAGTGACCAGTCAGGTGTCACAGTGTAGCTTCTGGAGATACCCTGTGACTTTCTAGAATCACCTCTTCTGGCATACACATTGTAGCGTGTCTGACAATACATGTTACACAAGTGTACCTGGTAACATTGTTGCCCTGGAGGTGGAAAGACCCACATAGAAATTTCCTGATTCCACAGGCAGGGTGACCACGCAGCACCTCACACTGTGACCTTTCCAGCAGGTGCTTTAAAAAGCAGGGCGTCTTGGGGCGCCTGGGTGGCGCAGTCGGTTAAGCGTCCGACTTCAGCCAGGTCACGATCTCGGGGTCCGTGAGTTCAAGCCCCGCGTCAGGCTCTGGGCTGATGGCTCGGAGCCTGGAGCCTGTTTCCGATTCTGTGTCTCCCTCTCTCTCTGCCCCTCCCCCGTTCATGCTCTGTCTCTCTCTGTCCCAAAAATAAATAAAAACGTTGGAAAAAAAATTAAAAAAAAAAAAAAAAAAAAAAAAGCAGGGCGTCTGTTCATAATGTTTGGTAGTCTCCCTTGCCCCCACGGCTGCATCAGAGTCCCAGGAGGCTGAGGTCACCCCTGCCACAGCCCCCTATTGGCGGACACCAGGCTCCAGGCATTGGCATCGTTCGGCCCCCGACTGACTACATCTGTGGGGCTGGCCTCGTTTCTTAGGCCGACGCGGACCTACGGGACCCCACATCCCAGGGCTCAGCAACATCGGGGTGCAACAAGGTCTGGACTCTGTTCTTGTTCCATCAGGGGTGACGGCCAGAGGCCCAGGAGCACAAGCGAGCCTGGACGCTCAGTAAGGAAACGAACAGCATCTCAAAGGGCTGGGAGCTCCGACTCCAGGATCGCGGGCTGGTGGTGAGGGTCACATGGCGCAGGTCCTGGCCTGCGGAGCGTCATGGCGCTTTCCCCTCTGCTCTGCTCGAGAGCTGCTTCGTGCCTGGGGTCCACACAAGCCTTCCCTGGCCCCGCACCTTCGTGCCAGAGTGGCAGCGGGCACCGGAGGCCCCCCCACGAGTGCTAGGGGCTCACAGGGCTCGGAAGAGGGGCCCCGTCCCAGCCCCTCCTCTTGCCTCGCTGGCGGCAGGACCCTATTTGGACAGAGGGGGACTGAGGGCCGCCAGGGTCAGCGTGGGCAGTGGGCTCGAGGCTGCCCCCACCCGCGGGCCCCCGGGGCCCAATCCGGCCCACACTCACCATATGCCTTTTGCAGGTCAGCGGGACGAGCACGTGGCAGCGTTTATGGACCAGCAGCTTGCAGTTGATGCATCTGTAGCCCTGCCCCGCGAGGCCCCATATCCTCTCGCTGCACCGGCCACAGTACGCTCTCTGCAAGGACAGCGGCCGTCACGCCGAGGGCCTCGGCGCCCCTGGAGCCCGCGCCTCACTGCAGGGGACCCAGCTCAGCACTGGGGCACGTTGCACCTTTCCTGACGTCCCGAAAGATGATGGGGAGCTAGACAAGAGGTGGCCCAACCAGTGGGTCACGTCGGGCACCAGGCTCTGCCCAAGCTCTGGGCCCCCTGCTTGGGTCCGTTCCCAGGCTGGGGGAACCATGGGGTCCCGCTCTGGCAGGGGTGACAAGACCCCTCCACGGGCAAGGCCCTCCCCTTGCTTGCAGGGACCGGAGGGGATTCCAGCCCTTGCCGGGTCATGTGCCGAACAGGGTGGCGCCCCGTCTGGTGCAGTGACCCAGGCTGAGGGGGGCGCGGGGGGCATCCACACACCTCCCCCGGACAGCCACAGAGAGACTAACTCCGCCTGGCATTACGTGTCGCGTGTTGGCCGCTAGGGGCAGCCTGCGATTCTTGGGTTTTTGGGAGTTTTAAAGATTTTTCCGCGGTCAATCTTCGTTCTTCAAGCTCTAAGTAGCTGAAATTAATGGCAATCGTCAGCTGGTTTGGTGATGTTTTCCCCACGTTGGGCTGTTGAAAGGGCACGAAGATGACTGTGTTCAGAAAGCCGGTCACACACGTGGCCGCACGTCTGCCGGGTTCCTGCGACCATCTTTCCTGGCTTGAACTCCCTGGCAGGCTTTAGCCTCTTCTGCCGTTTTTAACAAATTCCCTTCTTTTGAGAGAGTCTGCTCCTGGAGACAACCGTGAAGCACCACACTGCACTGCAGTTCATTCACGACGGCTGATGGAATCCTCTGATGGGTGGACTCGGGCGGGGGCCGGGGGGGTGGGCGGATCGGGGTGACACGGACAGGCCGTGGGCCTGTGCTCCGGGCCACGGGCACCAAGAAGCCGACTCCTCGCCAGCGAAGCACCGAGCTTGGAAACCAGGGCCTGAGGGGGCTGGTCCTGGCACACAGGTGCCCCAACCACGTTTGCTAAGGTTAAGCAAACACACACTCACACACCCCACGTCACTTTTAACTTCGGAAAGAGAAGAATTTATTCCGAGTCCTCCCTGTTGCCTAAAGCGTCTGTCCCACGAGCTGGCAGGCACAGAGGGTGGGCCCGGCGGGGAATGGCCTGGACGGGGCGCAGTGGACGGCCGCGGGGGCCACGGTCTCATGCCGGGTAAATGCCCAGCTTCGCATTCAAAGGAGGAGCTTCAGGTATGAACATGGGTTTCACTCTCTTCTGCGTGTGTGTCTGTCAAACACCATTTATGAAGCCGTGAAACAAAAGCACCTTCTTACGTAACCCACCAACACGCGCAGCCTTCCCATCGTCACCCCTGAACAACCTAATCTGCAACGCTTGGCTCGCGGATAGGGGCAAACTCACAGCCGATCGGTGCCTTTGCGAGGTAACGCATTCTTCCCAGAGATGAGCAGGGGCCGGGCCGGGCCAGCCGCTGACCAGCAGCAGCGCGCCCTCGCTTGTCCGGAGAGGCTATCACACGTTGGCAAGGGCTCTCGATCTCAGACCTGTGTTTGACTTGTTAACACTTCACGAGACATCACGAAGAAATAAAACAAAACCTAACCCCCGAGCCACGATTCTCTGAAATTCACATGAATTAATAAGTTAATGGGGTAAAAACATTTTAAGTCTCCTTACACACCACTGAATCTGTCCCTTGCTCGGATTTCGCATCAGCCGTTCTAGTTTTTGGCCATATTGAGCTCTCATCTGAGGTCGGAGCCTGTGGTCTGGGTTTCTGCTGCTTCTTGGGGGGTGGGAAAGGCGGCTCCCGCCAGGCCCCAGACCTGCTCCTCTCGCGGCCTGATGGTTCAGCCAGTGGTAACTCCAATCCCTAGTCCAGGGGCAGGCCAATGAGGACCACCACCTGTGTTTTCCAAATAAAGTTTTACTGGAACAGGCCCTCACTCGTTTGTCGACCCACTGCCTGTGGCTACTACACTATGATGGGGCGGTGGCTGCAACAGAGGCCTTGTGGCCCAGCAAGTCTAAGGTATCTACTCTCCACCCTTAACATGGATTTAACAGGAATTGCTTGCTAACCCCTGTTCTAGTCGCTGGGACCAAGAAGCTTAGGAGAAATCCTCGACGGGCATTTGCCAGAGATGCTCACGCCCCGGGGCTTCGCAGGGCGGGACTCTGACCGTCAGTCGCATCCTGCAGAGGGGGCCTCGCCCTCGTGCCCCCGCATCCATGCCGCCCGTGTCTCCTGCTCCAGGACAGAGGTTTTCGTTTCTTCTCCAGAAACTCGCTGGATCTCTCCCTTTGATTCACGGATGGAACCTTTTCTCGTTGTTCTAGAAGAAACGTCATGTCGACGGCAAATAACGATCCAGGCAGGTGCCTTGGGAAGATGGCCGGCGGTGTGACTGAGTTCACTCACTTTCCGCCCTTGAGTTGCCGAGGAGGACGGAGGAAATGACCTCTTGTGGGCTTTTTGCCTGTAGGTCTTGCCGATTCCTGTAGAACAAAGCGCGGGGCTCTGCAAACATCCTTTCAAGTGACAGGTGGAGTTGAAGTGCACAGCCCTGTGATTAACACAGTGAACGGCACGGAGCCAGCCTCCAGGGCTCAGGCAACGGGACGTCGAGCCAAGGACAGTCAGGCGGGAAACCAAAATTGGCAACAAATTGCGCACACATCTGCCTCCTCATCTGCGAACGACCAAACGATCTGAGTCGAGGGTCTTTGGACAGGCTCCCTTCTCCCTCCCCGTGTGTGGGAAAACCCACTCTGGGGCTCTGGGGACAGCTGAACATGTATAACAGGGTGGGAACGGGGAGGGGCAGGAGGGGCAGGCAGGGGAAAGCAGAGTCAGGGTCTGCACCCTGCAATCAGAGAAATGGGGTTTTCTCCTACAATCTGCAGGGGGGGACAAGCGGGCCCTGGTCTGTCTTGCTGGGTGGGTGGGCTTCGTCTTGGACCGGTGAGTCAGCTGTGATGAAGAAACGGTGTTTCACCAGCAGTCAACACGGGGGAGCAGGACGCCTAGAACCTTCTGTGATATCCCGAAAGGTGGCTGGTCCCATCTGGCCGAGACCCCTCTCTGTCCAGAACCAAGCTGGTGCCCAGATGTGCAGAAAGAGAAGCCTCCTGGCCGCAAAGCTGGATGGTAAAATAAACACGGGGAGGGGGCGGCAGATGCTTCGCATCCTGGGAGTTGGGATGTTTCCATTTCTTCACGTTGTGGGCAGCCTCCTTTCATCACAAAAGTTCCTGTCCACACCCAGTCAGTCCGCCCAGGGATGTGACAAGCGTCCATTATTCATGCAGCCACACCTCTGTCCTCAGGCACTGGCTTGCTGGTGATGCCTAACCTCCCCCAAGACACCCGACATTCCTTGGAGCCCGTGCTCTCCCGCCACCCACCTCGGTTCCCAGGGTCTTTCTCATTCCTCACAGACGTGCCCCATTCTTTCTTGGTCCCTACACAGTGCCCTGGGTCTCCCCTGGCTCCAATCATCGAGGAACCCACGTTCAGAGTCCCAGTGACCAGAGCACTGCACCCAGTGGGGGGCAGCAGGTGCATATGTGACGGGGGCACAGAGGAAGGGCTGGATAGTTGTCCAAGCCAAGAGACAGAAAGTAAGACAGAGCA